GACGCACACACGGGCACACAGGCAACCCCTCGTCAATATGCATTTTCTGCATTGCATAGCTGCTATAAAACGCATAAAAACACATATTGGCGAGGGGCTGTCGATGTGTGTGTGTGTGTGTGTGTATGTTCGTACTTTTGTCATCTGCTTGCAACTTAGCAACCAGTGAAACTAGGAAGCTGAAATTTCTGGATCCTGTTTCAAGGCCGTGTGCAATGCTTTGTTTTTAAAATCATCACTTAATTTAAGCTTCAGAGTTGCGAATTCGCAATTGTTGCTAAGATGCGGCCGACCAATGAACTAAGCTGAGCAGATTCCTCGGGTTTTGCGAGAATATTTGCTGCCTTTGTACACGGGAAATGAGCATTCGTGTATTCCTATAACAAGAGTATGGACGTAATAAATTTTGGCTGGAAAGCCACTTTGGAAGTCAGCTAAGTTAGGAAATAGTATACCAACAGGATTGTACGCAAGCCATGTGTATGGTGTTATTTTATGGTGCAAATTGCCTTTATCTTTCAGATGTAGTGGGGTGATATTTTTCAATGCAGTCTATGTTTCATCCCTTAGCTGTAAACACAGACCGGACTATGCAAGCGGGTAGGAGTGGGAATCGTCAGTACAGTGAAACTTAGATTTTCTGGGGATATGACGGTGTATGTGGATCGAAGCGTTCTCGTGCTACAACACGAAATTGTACAAAAATGCATGATTGCACTGGTATTTGCGCAGCGCGCCACATTTTAACAAATTTTTTATAAAACTTCAAATGCTACACTTTTCAGTGCTCATGGGAAATGGCATCAAGGAAGTTGGTCACATGTGCAGGCTGGCTGCTTACCTAACAACCGGAACATCACGGTCTGTATTTTCTAAGATTTTAAACTTTTTATTTAGCTTTTATAGTATGTGAGTGTATTGACCCGTTAAGTAAGCAGTAAAGATGCAAGAAAGATAAATGACAACGCGCACCAGACTAGCCGGTACGATCATGCGTTTTGTGCAATTCAGCCCATCGAATGATATTGCCTATTAATGATTTCCACTGCTTTGTACTTTAGTCTATGCAAAAATAGTTCAAACATTGGAAGACAGTTAAAAATTTCACGCACCAGCGCATGAAAGCTGAATTCGAAACCTTGAAAGGTGAATATCTTTATCCCGAGTTAATAGTTTATCCGCCAAAATTTTCGCAGGGCCGTAGGTGATACTCAAGAGCGCGGGAATGCTGAATTTGAATAGGCAAGGTCGAGGGTGGGAAGGGGTCATTATCCTAAAATTTCAGCCTCCTAGACTCCGCGGTTCCCGAGATATTAATTTACCAGTAAAAAACTTTTACGGGGCCGTACGTGTTACCCGCGGATACGGAAAGGCTGAGTTTCAATTTGCGGGGTCACACATGGGTGGGAACGTTCCCCTAAATTTTCAGCTTCCTAGCTTTTGAGTTGCGGACAAGTTGCTGCGGATACACACACACACACAGACAACCCCGTGACAATATGCATTTTGTACTGCTGCTACACAGCACAAAACGCATAAAAAAGGTGGCAGGGAGCTTGAGGAGGGGGAGGGCGGAAGAGGGAGTAGGGGGGGGGGGGTTCAAAGATTGGACCCTGGAATTTGTTCTTTTAGAAGAAGATGAAGTTTTGCTTCTTTTTCGAGAATTAATTTTCCAAAGGTTTTCTGGGATTTAGAAATCCAACATGTTGTATTATATTTAGAAATTCCAAATTTCAGTGTGTGCTCTATTATATTTTTTGGTGTACCACGTAAGTTCGTGTCACCCAAGCTTAGCTGGACAATTGCGACACAGTATCTTCTTAACATACTTGAAGCTGGCAAGGTCTGTACCCTGCAGGACCTTGGCAATGCCTAACCCCTTGTTATGACTCCCACACCACAATGATAGCGCCGGGGTTGGAATTTTAGTGGGAGAGAATTTTATATCAGTTGTTTTGTTAGGTCTCTGCGCGGTCTTTGACTGCAGCAGCGGGAGACAGTGATGAGTGTCAATGCCTTATTTACTAACGTAAGCTTCATTTTAATGGAACGATCCAGGACGTCACACAAACTATCGAACGGAGAGAGAACATTAGTCGTATCGAAGCAGCCAGTTGGTAGCGTTAGTCATATCAAGACGTGACGCGCGTTGATTTCGGGACTCTCACCCTTAGGGGCTTATAAAGGGTAAATTAATGGAGGGGAAAAGGAGGGCAAAGGGAGTTAGTAAGTAGGGAGCGGTAGCTAAAATGAAATGTGAAATTATTTAGAAAATCGTAGAAGTGTTAGGAATTAGTGGGTGAAGGGAAATAAGTCAAATGCTCAGGATTGCTGTTCCCCGCAAAATTTCGACCGAGACATCTATGGGGAATTTTTTTGCCCGAAAGAGTGCTAGTTAGGAGAAACAAGTACAGCCAGTTCCCTCAAAATGTCTTATTGAAAAAATCCTTTTTTTAGTAAGTGACAGACGTCGTCACCGAAAAAAGTAGAAAAGCTACCGATGGCTTTTTGTGAGATGCATCGCATGAACTAATTCTTGCTGTCCTTTTCCATAGTTAGAGCTTCGTCCGACATGCAGAATACCGCCACTTGCCTATATAGCAACTGTGCCAGTAGTGCAACATATGTGCTGTTGAAAATAATAGACCAACAAGATTGTACGCAGACCATGTGTAGGTGTTATTTTATGGTGCAAATTGCCTTTATCTTTCAGATGTAGTGGGGTGATATTTTCCAATGCACTCTGTGTTTCATCCCTTAGCTGTAAACACAGACCGGACTGTGCATGCGGGTAGGAGTGGGAATTGTCAGTACAGCCTCCTACCCGCCATGTATTGAAAAGACGTGTAGCTAATTTGCTAGAAGGATGAGTGAAGGAAGAAGATAAAGAGAGTAAGAAGGATAGAAACTATTTAATATCATGAAAGAAATAGGAGTGATAGAGCAGGTGGAAGAGGAAGAAACTAACATATGATAAGGATAGCAATTTTATGAAGTTATGAGGAGACAGCTTTCATGAGAATATCGCACTAACTAGATTTTTAAACCCTAGATTCGCTATCATTCCAGCATTTATGTTGCTGTTTTGATAGGGCTCCTTGTTAGCAGTGAATATTAGCGAATAGATTTTAAAAATGCCGAAAAAATATTCATTATTTTTATGAACTAATAATATTTGCAGATACAAAGGGACAAGCTCGTCAACGAAAGCTGTACAGAATCATTCACAAGAACGCGCGCTCGGTAATGATTTAGTCCGTTAAATTGTTATAATTATTTTGCTTAAAACTAAATCAAATTCGAAAACCCCGTCTCTCTCATTCTGTTTAAGAAGCAAAGAACTTGTAAGTATCGGAGTTGTAGCAAGTGTTAATAGCAGTTGCTCATTGGCAAGGCCGCCAACTGGTATCCTGTTCCGATGCGGTTTTCTGAAAGGCAGGCTGATGGTGATTTTATTCCTCCGGCATACGCTATTACGGTTTTATCAGTAAAATGAATGAGCGATTCGTTAAGGCACGGCTGGGCAACCGGCGGCCCGCGATCAGTTTTAATCCGGCTCGCGGAGTGAATCGGAATGTCTCTCTTCTGGTTGCCGAGTTAGTAATTTTCCTGCAGAAACTTTCATACGCCCTCACCTGGGGGCTGAATTTGAAATCGTTAGCCAGTACATGCACAGGATATACCCCTACAAAATTTCAGCCCTTTAGCTCATGAGGTTCCCGAATTCGTTTCCCCGCCAAAAAACTTGCATATTTTTTTAAAGCGTCTGTACGCGGCACCCAGGCGTCCGAGGGGGATGAAATTAAAACGAGAGGGTCGCACATG